GGTCTACTCCAGTATGTCATGCAGCCTCGCCCCACCCCTACCCCCAGCTCACCGATGCCGAAGATCAGCATGGCTTACACCCTCCAACGGACCGGGACGTGTATCTCGGTATACTACGGCTATCCAGCTGGAGCAATATTAACCGACGGAAGCATGCAGCCTATACACGAAGGAAGCTGGGGGAGAAAGAAGGAATGAGAGAATTGATCACATGCGGTAGATTGGCTATTCCCATTTCGTGTATCATGGACACCTGGGTATGTAGCCTAAAAGGGAAGGGAAGAAGGAATGTTGGAGTGATCACATGTGGATGTTAGTTGGTATTTCCCATTTTGGAGGGTATGGCAATTCTTCTAGCTAGCTGTTATTTTCCGTCTTCACCGATGGGAGTGAGCGATCTAGGAACGAAGGAAGGGAAGAAGGAACGTTCAGATGGTCACATGCGGATGCTGCTAATCCTGTTTCATCTACTACTCCAACTACTACTCCAACTACCCCAGCTTCGTCTTGCTTCCCATGTTCATCGATTGGAGCATGAAGGGGAAGATAAATGCTCCAAATGATCACATGGGAAAGTTACTATTCCCGTTTCAATCATCATGCCGATAGCGGCATGTCCATCGGCAGGACCAGGCAGTGGTCTACTAACGAAGGACGAGAAACGTCACCTCCCCCACCGCTCCTACCCCGCCCAGCCAAAGAAGCAAACCCGAGGAAGCGCATGCAGATGGCACTATTCCTATTTCAGCTTACTATGCTAACTGTTTTGACTTCGTCTTACTTTCATGTTCACCGGTAGAAACATACAGTCTAAGCAGGGACGAGAAGAAGGAATGGTCAAAGTGATCACATGGGGATCTTGAGATTCCCATGTCGATCATCTGCCATACCGAAGGAACGCTTCAGCGCGCTTATGCAGATACTGCTACTCACAGTGGAGCTAACACACCAAGTGCCCTGACCTCGACTTAATTTCCCATATTGATAGAGATTGATAGACGGTGCTGGAAGCATGCAACCTCTAAAGCAATGGAAGAAGAAACATTCGGATAGTAAGATGTGGATAATGCTATTCCCTTTCCATCTTGCTACATCAGATGCTTCGACTCCGTCTTACTTTCTCCTGTTCACTGATGGAAGCAGACATCCTGTGTACGAAGTAGAGAAGAACGTTCAGTTGTGACAGTGCACATGATGCTATTCCCGTCTTGTCCCCCATACCACCTGCCATCTAACCTTGGCAGGAAACGCTACTTTCCACCTGGGAACACTAGCCCGTTATCATGCCTCACCTTCTCCATAACCGCCAACGTATCTCTACTATGCTGCTCCAACTTCGCCAACGCCTCACGATCGCCCTCCTCGATACACCTCGCAAACTCCCTCGCCTCCTCCACCAAGTTCAACTTCTCAGGTTCCTTCACACCTGACACATCCTCCCTCGTCTTCTTCTTCGGGTCCCAGAAGGTAATCTTGTTGATATCCGTAATAGTGGGTACAATCAGCGTGCCCTTCTCCCCGTAGATCTCACTTGGGGCGTCGGAGTTGTAGATCTTGCTATGGCAGAGATGGACTGTGAAAGTGGGGTATGCGAGGATGAGGCGGCCGCCGCCGTCAGCACCTGTGGCGATCTTCACGGGGAAGTATTGTGATGAGGTGGGTGCGCCGAAGAGGTCGATGGCGGCTGCGACACAGTATACGCCCAAGTCTACAAGCGCGCCACCGCCCATCTCTAGGTTGAAGATGTTGGGGACTTCGCCTTGAAGCACCTTTTCGTAGCGACTGCTGTACTGCGCAAAGGTTATGGATGCGCCGTAGAGCGGACCTAGGTCTGAGATCTTGGATTTCAGCAGCTTGAAGTTTGCTTCTTGGATGTGGCGGAAGGCTTCGACTAGGACGACCTTCTTCGACGTCGCTAGTGCGAAGAGCTCGTCGAGTTCGGCGACGGTACTGCAGGATGGCTTCTCGAGGATGACATTCTTGCCGGCGTTGAGGAGCTGCTTGGCTTGCTCGTAGTGCAGGATGTTGGGGCTGGCGATGTAGACCGTGTCGATCTTATATTGGGCAAATGCATTCAGGTCGGTGAATGTGGTGATTTGCTTGTCGGAGTATTTGGATGCGAATTCTTTCGCGGTCTCTTCTTTGCGCGAGAAGACGGCGGAGAGGTTGTATTTGCCTGTTGCGTGTGCCGCCTCCACGAAGGAGTGGGTGATCCAATTGGTTCCGATGATTCCGAGATTGATCATGTTGGCGGTGTTTGTTTGATGAGTGATTTGGGTATTCGTTTTGAGAAGGAGCTGACCTGATATAAATACGTTGTTCGCGTCGAGGGGCAGTCGCGTTCAACCCCACTAGGAAGCTTCAGCTTCAGCTGCTAGTGTGATGTCATTGGCCGACTGTTCCGACTACCCAAAGCGGCAGTAGTTGGCAAAACTAGACACTAGGGGAAAGGTCAACAGATGAGTAAACAGAACTGTCTGGATCAAATCGGTATTGTATTGCAGGTTACTAAATGCAGTCATACTATAGGATAGCCTCAGTGCTGTTGCGCAAAACTAGAGTTCCTGAAGAGGGTATCATGCTGCGACCATGTGTCGTGTCGTTGAAATGTATCATACCATATGCGTGAAAGAGAGGTGCATCTTCGTTCCATCCCGGGCATTGGTCCAAGCCGTGTTGGATGACGATCATAATGTGAGAAGGAAAATGTGCAGGACCAACCGTACGCCGAAATCAAACCCCAAAACTCCGTACGCTCAAAGTCGCATACTTGAAAATGCAATGACGCTGAAAGTACTAGAAGGGAAGTACTCATGTGTCGTTTATTCAGTCCTCCCATATAGTGTCCAGGTCTAGGTCGACGCGTCGTTCAGCTCCGCAGACACTCCATCTCTTCCGTGAGTCGCGCTTGCCGAAGCCGAGACTGCGCCCACGGCTTTCGGGCACGTCTAGGCTGGACCTCCTGGCATCTCCGCCGTCCTCACGGTCCGCCGCAGCCTTGAGCCGCCGTAGGCGATCAGCCTCTATGGCTTCTTCTTCTGCGTCTGGGCTGTCTTCGATGGTCTCGAGAGACGAGATGGAAGGGCTGCGGGAGCGCATCGAGGTCGGGGTGGATGGCACGGACGAAGAGGCATGGGACATGGGGTAGTTCTCGTTGAACCTGGAAGGTGCGAGGAGCGGTGAGGAGGCAGTGGAGGTGGGCGTGCTGACAGAGGGGGTGCTCGTGGGTGGTGCGCCAAAGGGTACAGTGACCTGGTAGAGCGGTGAAGCTGGTCGGCGTCGCCGGGAGAGCGAGCCTGTGCTGCTGTGGAGGCTCGACACGGTGGTGCCAACGCGCGGCGTGAGTTCCAGTTCGGCGTCCTCTGATATGTCGCACACGCTCGGTACGCCCTCAAAAGAGCCGATGGAGGCTGGACGGATACCCGAGCCGTACCGCTCCATGGTTCCTACTGAGTGCGGGCGTGGCTCCAGTGCCCGTGGGCTGCGGGTCCGCTTGGGGGAGCGCAGAGGAGAAGCCGGGCGGGCGAGCGGCATCGGGGCAGGCGAGAGCATCAGATTGCCAGAGGGCTGCATGACTGTAGGCAGCGAATGGGCCCGTGTCATAGGCGGCGCATTCGGCAACGCAGACCCGCTCTGAGAGCGGAGGTGAGAGCGCGAGTAGGGCGAGCGGTTCCGTGGCCGGGTGGTGAGGGCTGCCAGAGACGTGAGGGTGTCAGGCTGGGGGTCTGTCTGGGAGCGCGGTGTAGAGGGCCGGCGCGAGGTCATGCTGTCGTCGGACGCGTTGCTGAGCTGGCGGGCGAGCGTGTTGCTTTCTCCCATGGCGGCGGCAGAGGGCGGGCTGGAGCGTGAGCAGGATGCGTCTTCTGCAGCGGGCTTTGTAGGAGCCGGTGCCTTCTTCGGGCTCTTGAGAGGTATCGGGCCTGTATGGGCGCTCGTGGTGGGCATGGACTTCAGGCGTTGGACAAGATCGTCGTGCTGCAGATCCTCATTCACACTCAGCGGCGGCGAGAGATTTGAGGCAGTCATGGCGGCGGGCAGCGAGTATACATAGTCTGCGCTCACGCCTAGAGAGTATGGACTGGAGAGGCCGAGGTGGAGCTAGGGAGCGCAGGGGAATAGCGTGGTGCCCGTGTTGCTCTGGGCGGTGGACGCACGCTGGACCTTGCAGCGTTTCAGCCGCCGGAAACTGACTTTGAGCGCGCGCTGACTGGCTGGCGGCGGCCAAGGTGTGCAGCGACAAATAAGAGCGACGGATAGTGTGCGAGGACGACTCTGTTGGAGCCCGGAGAGTCAGAGCAGTGCACGAGGACGGTCACGATGTTGCTGCCCTGCGACGACTGAGGAGGGAGGGGCCGCGACGTTGGTGTTGGTACCTGCCGCCGAGATTGCCGCTATCGATCTGGGGCAGTCGCGACCGCCTCCATAGGCAAGGGCTCCCAACAATGCCGCCACCCTGCCATGCAAACAATACAATGTCCTCTGTTTGCTACACAGCCGCCCCATTGACACTCCCTACACATTAAACTGTCATCACCACGCCCCGCACCGTCGCTCGCCACACCTCTCTCCAGCCGCCATGTTCCCTGATCAGCGCCGGACAGGACTCTAACGGACCCTGAAATTGCCTGCAGCTGACTAGCGCAACGTCTCCACCGCCCAAGACGACAGGCACACTCCAATCACGGCCGGCTCTCGCAAATTAAGACGCTACCCGGGGCCGAATTGGGACCTCGCTGCTAAATGTGGGTGCCTCAGGCTTTAATCCACGACGGCGTGGTTATTTATGCCTCTTCCCCACATAATCTCTCGCCCACGCCCGTGTATTGCTTGCATTAACTTCACCACCATTGTCTATGCTGCACAGGGGTATTTGATTATCGATAATGGATGCGCGATTCCGATACTACCGATAAGCTGCCTTTCCGCGGATATCCAAAGCTGTCTTACTATGCAGATGGAAGGGCGAGTATGTCAGTCCAAATTCTGAACGCCCTCCAGCTTCAACCTAGAACTTGCAGAATCTCCTCTAGTGGCACCACAACCTTCTCGAAAACTGCTCGTTGTAGGTCCCGGTCGTCCAAATTGGATTTCCCTTGGTCAAAATCACACCATATACAACGACGGACTATGTCTTGGTAGCCTGGACCTATCTTGAATTCCAACTTCTTCTCGTCGAGCAGTCTTTGCGCAGTACACCACGCCACACCTGGTGTGTTTGAACAATCCAGATCGCATGGCAATTGGAGATCTTCGATTGATTTCTCAAAGCAAAGCTCAATCAGCAGTATGCCTAGAGTGAACAGCGTCTGGTTGCGGATGACCCTATACGCTGCCGGTCGGCCGATGTTGTCGCTAGCTTGGTCGATTTTGGACGCTGAGATCTTGCGATAGACAAAAGGATGCTCGTACAAACTGGCCGCCGGTGCATCAGGATGCCGCACAAAGTAAACGTCGCTGTCACTCCACTGCTCGTCCAGCCATGGTGTCTTGTAGAGCTGAAGCACGCTGAAAGCTAAGTCCAGAGCGACTTGTAGCTTATCGGACAGTCTCAGGCGCCAGTTGTTGCTCTTGTACTCGGTGAGTATTTGACGTAAGGAGTACACCGTGGGACTTGATTTCTCGGAGTCATTCGCTGAGTCCAGTGGGTAAATTCCATATTGGCGGTTAGAATTGTCCGTCAAGTAACCGATGCATGCAATCGGTTGCGGCGTAGGCAGAGCTGCAATTGCTGTGCATAGATCCCCAATCTGTATTGGCATGGATTTGATGATGGGTGCACTCGATCGTTCTACAAGAGTGATATCGCTACTGCTACACTCGTTTCGAGGTTGCACAAACCGAACTTGCTTGGGAGATTTGAGTGCGATTTGAGTCGGTTCTGTCATCTGTGGAGGGTCATTTGGCAAGCGTGAGATGTTTGCCTCGGCCCATCTCCAAGGGTTTCCGTGGTCTGAACGTCGGGAGATATCGTGATGAGCGCCCGTAAAGATGACGCGGAATGATGCTTCCTGTATGTCTTCGATCTTGCTAACTCTTCGCTTTCTCTTCTCGAGCCGCAATTTGACAGCATGATTGTCACATGCGCATCGCAGACCTGACTGTAGTGTCTCGTACAACGCCCGTGTTAAGCTTTGCAAGATGTTGAAGTTCGGGCATCGATGATGTTTGATCGCGCTTCTTGAATTCTCGAGGCTGATAGACTGAGTTGTAAGTTGCATCAACGCTTGATTGTAATAACAAAGAGCATTGACTTGTTCAGCGTAATCCGCTCTCTTGACACTGAACTTTAGTCTCCTGATATTCTCTTTGAATCGGCTTGGATCCGAGAATTGTGGCTGGGACGATTGTCAGCAATCACCGGTCATAGCTATTATGAGCGTTCTTGCTCCATTCCTGTCGTTACCGATGGGAGCAAGCGACGATGCTGCCCAACCTCTCGGTCGATTGGGAAACGCGAAAAACAGTTGGTGATGGCGCACGGACAGCTTTCGGTGGACCGAGAGCCAGCGATGAGGCAAAAGCTCTGATGACGTACCTTGCCAGCCTGGTCCAACGCTAATTTCTCTCTGAACCTTTGCAACGACGCTTCCATGCCGCACACGTTATCAAGATAGATGTCATACGCATCGCGCAATCTATCTTTCAGCTTCAGCTCGATATCTGGTTCTTGCCAAAAGTTGCCACCCGCAACAATGTCACTCATCCGCTCGTCGCTGGCGATGCCATTCAACAATGTCTCTATAGTATTCTTGAATAGCTTCTGCTCTGTTCTAATCTTCCTCAATAGGTCCTCCATCTCGGTCTGATATTTCAGATATCTCCTCGCGGTGCTGATGCCGTTGGCATAATGTTCGATGGCTGAGATAACGAGCGGTATCGATCCTAGGACGGCACCTGCGATTTCGAGACCCGACATCGCGAACTATTTTCGATGGACTTGCCACTGGAGATAGGCTGATGTATTCGAATCGTTCTGTGTCTGAAGTGTGGTTCTGGATGGTGATCCAGCGGGTCTCAGACAGGAAGGAGCGGATACAATTCATCGACGTACTTGGATGCACGTGTGCGGCGTAGTACAACCCCGCTTGCCCCGCATCTACTCCCTACATGAGTACGTAGTTGCACTGCCTGATGATCTGATGATCTGATGAGTTGTATAGGCTATATAGGGAATTATCTCCCGTTAGCATCAAGGAAGTCCCAATCCTGCTGTTCACTTTATTTCCTGGCATCCCGCCACCTTCCAACCTATCTGCGAAGTCGTACCGTACTATCAACTCGTTCGAAAGATACCGCGCTACAGAATATGGTGTTCAGAAGTTTCGCTGACCCTGTCCTGGTTGCAACCCACGTTCGAGAATGCTTCATCTATTTCCAGAAAGTCTGCGACAGTCTCGAGAAGGCCGAGTCACGTATCAGGCAGAAGATACTACCCGGCCGTTTCGATGATGAGTTGGGTCGCTTCAAGATCTGGTGCGGCAATGTCGGCGCGCACAGATTCGGCAAAGGCTCACTCGATTACAAGCTTCGCGAAGCTTCGCACATACATGACCAGGTCATCGAGCTGCTAAAAGGCATGACATCCAGTCTGGGGAAGGCCAACGCAATTATCACTGGTGAAATAACTCCATGGGAAGACCTTTCTGACTCTGATTCGGATGTGTCTGAGGATTCAGACAAACGGGATGCCACAGAATTAGAGCAGCACGCATTCAGCCTATCCGAGATCAACACTTGCCTCATGCGACTATCAATGGCGATCCGAAATCCTGCACCTCACGACCAGTTCAAGGAGTCTGCCCACTTCAGAGTCTCTCATTTCGAACACTTCGATATGCAGCATGTACGAGCTAAATTTCCCAACGCCGAAGAATACCTAGTAGCTCGTTTGGGCAAGGCCATCTCGCGTCGACGGCAATATCTCAACTACCGTGAAGAGCATCGGCAAAGACTTGCGCAGGGACTAGAGCCAGCTGCGGATTTGGTAGCAGTAAACAATGCCCTGGTAGAAGTGCCGCAGTCCGAGATCATGGACACACCGCAGCAGAAGCCAGAAACGACGACAGATTTCTCCGAAAGGATTGCGAGTACTGTCGCATCTTCACTACCCTCGGCTCTCAAGGCCACCATATCCGTAACAGAGCTTATGGATGAAGCCTACTACGAAGAGACCCTTTCTCAAACCAGTTACGCGTCTTCTGGGTCAGAGTCTACTAGACTGCGTCCACCGCGCATTCCAAAACTCGGTGAGCATGGCGACCCTTTCGAATGCCCGCTCTGCTTCCGATTCACGTCGGCCCAGCATGAATTCGCCTGGCGCAAACATGTTTACCGTGATCTACAACCTTACGTAAGTGATCAATATGACTCAAATACGCTCTAACTAAAAGTGAATAGATTTGTACTAACGAACGTTGCGAGACGGCTGATCGGATGTATGAGTCAAGATACGAATGGTTTCACCACGAATTGCAGGCCCACAGAAAGTGGTGGAAATGCCTCGACGGTTGCGACCAGCCTTTCCAACTGCAGTCAGAGTTCCGTGTGCATCTTTCGCAGCACCACCCAGAGTTCACGAACTCAGAACGTATCGAGGATCTCATGCGGACTTGCGAAAGGCAGCACTGTACAAGTGAGAATGAAAAAGTGGGGTGCCCACTTTGCCATCATCACGTCTTGTCGTTTCCGCTTCTGCGACGTCACCTTGGCAAACATCTCGAAGAGTTGGCGTTGTTCGCATTGCCCTCTCGTGTGAACGAGGATGGCGACGAGGCAGACAAAGGACAAAGTGACTTGCGTTCTCTATCCAGCGAAGCCGAAGCTGGTAGCTCACCAGACTCGCTGTCTGATGAGGACAGCGATGCAAGACGGCGCCACGAAGGTGGTAGTAAGCCCAAAGCAGAACCTCAAAAACCCTCTTCCATCACTTCTTCATCAACTGGCTCGCGAGATGAACCAGGGATCCCATGTGGAATCGATGGATGCGACTGGGTTTCAAGAATGCAAGACCCCAAACTTCGACTTGCCTGGCATCGTGAATGGGCACACGCCGGCCCAAAGGTCTTTCTCTGCAGAAAGCTCGGCTGCAGGAAGTACTCTCATACTGAGCATGATCGAATCCAACACTACAAAAGAAGCCATTCACGCATGGCTGCTAGTCTCTCACGCCCTTACATTCCAGAGGGTCCCCATGATTATTTCGATGCGTTGGTAAGCTTTTACCGTGCAAAGGGCTGGAAAGACGTGAGCAAGTTGTGGTGGTATAGCCAGGGTCGTATCATAACGCTCAAAGATCTCAAGACAGCCATAGAAAAGCGTGGTGGAGCTAACCTAGTAGACATGAAGGGCCACTGGGCGTATGTTATAACGCACGACAGTGGCAATGTGGATCATCACGGCGAGTGTTTGTTCACAATCTACTCTGAATATATACAGCCTTTCGATGAGCATGAAGAGATGGACGTATATGTGAACCGAAAGACTGGTTTGGGTGATCTCGGCTTGAATGAAGTTAGTGGCCTGCTAAGTCTTGGAGCGGCAGATGTTCCAGGCATTGAACACAAACTACGAACCGCATCGATTCTAAGCGGTGGCCGCAACGGGCTGCACGGCTCTTTGTTCTACTCGTCCCTCTTTGACTTCGACAGATGGGCGTTTGGAAGGTTTGAGTTTGGGGAGAGGGAGATCTTCTTTCGTCGAGAAAAGGGTGGCAACAACGTCATCTCCATCCGGTACGAGAACGTCGCGCACGCACATGCACGCGATTCCAACACAGTTGAAATACACGGCTGGTTGTTCAACAACACTGAGCTTGTGGATGGTGTCAATAGCATGATACTAGAGTTCTTAGACGACGGGATTGGCTATTTTATTGGGTACGTGCTCAAGGGTCCGACGATAGGAATGGACCCCGATCCGAATGTTGAAACGCCGAAACTTCAACCGTACCCACCCATATATACTAAGGGGGGCGACGTATGCATCATTCCTGATGTAACGATCAGGATCCTCGCATGGAAGGGAAGGGAAACCATGCACGCAACTCTCAAGTTTTATCGCCCAGCGATTGTTTTCGAGGACATTCATTCCAAAGAAACTGCATACGTCCCCTATGCCGACCTCAGGTATTACTATGATAAGGGAGACTGCGCAGTGGGTGTAACGGCCAACCATGTCTACTGCTCACACCCCTGCAGGTGGACGTTGAAAGAAAATACAATATGTTTGGAATTCACGATCACTGCCAAAGATCACGAGACAGCGGCTCTGATCAAGAAATATCTCTCATATCACAAGATAAGGGGTGATTATAGGGGAGAGGGTTTATGGACTGGTTTCCCATATTTATCAATGCCGCCTCGAATCAAGGCGTCATAGTACAAGTCAGAACACAGGTGAGCAATCTCACGGACGATGAAGAAGATGGATATCTCTAAGCTCTTACAAATGCAGCTACATCAAACGATCTTTTTTTGTGATTCCAAAGGTGTTGTTGTAGCCAGAATGTTGTTTCAAAATAGTAGATAAGCAGCCGCCCTCTATTTATTGGTCGCAAAATTCGAAAAAAAAGAGTTGTTGTCAACACAGCTACATCAAACAGCTCGTTCCATTTCAGCGTCTACTGGCTGATGCTCATGACCCGCACGCTACCGTGCTAAGAAGACACTGTGTGCCTTCCCTACCGCCAGTGCGCAGTCCCCAATACACAAACAACACATTCAAAAAGCGAGTTAGGATGAGAAGGTGGTTCGATCGCGATGCAGAGAGTAGTATCTCTACTTAAACTCAGTCTGCTCGTTGCATTTATCCACTGCTCGCTTACGTAGCGTCACCGTGTGTAGCAATGATCTGTGTCACCATCGGTAGTAGCCGAAAGCAACGTAATACGGCACAGTCTACCGAAGCGTTTGGTAACACGAGATGTTGTGACACGCTTTAGGGATGACAAAGCGATTCTGTTAGTGAAAAGTTCTACTACCTCACTACCCAGGGGCATAGCTACTTTCCTAAACAAAGTTACACAGCCGAAGCAGTAACGATAACCACTAAAGAGCTTCGTTTTATTACACTTCGGCGATGTGGATAGCGATGGTGATGACTGTAATGACCGCGTTTGTCATCGCGCTCAGGTCGCGGAGGGAACAGTTTGTCGCTGTGACCCATACGATCGCCCATAGAAGACAATCCAGTCGCAGATTTCGCACATTCAACTACAAAAACGATTTCAGCCCCGATCCAAAAGGAAGAATTCAATGTAGAGCTTATGAAGCTATCCACGATCATACTCCTTACGACAAGCTACACTGGCAATGAACGAATCCATGCCGTCGCGACCTCTTGATAAAATTCGAAGCTACAAGGTAAGTAAAGCTTTTCTACTATCATCCGCCGCGCTAACGCAGCTCAGAGTGCTATCAACATCCTTAACAGTCGACGACGCCTCGCGAGGCCTACTACAAGCCCATCAAGCACTCCACCGACTTATGGTTCTGTTCCTGATGCGCAAGGAAAGCCAAACCTGAAGGGCACACCCAGTGTAGCCGGAATGAAAGAATGGCTGCACCAAATCGGTCACTCGGTACGCCTCCTTGTGTCTTCGCTGAACTCCACTGATAGAGAGAGACTATCGATATCGATAAACTGAACATCATCCACGTCACCGGAACCAAGGGCAAAGGTAGTACATGCGCATTCATTGAGTCTTTTCTCCGCGCTTACGGGGGAAGTACCGAATGGCCGCTTAAGACAGGCCTATATACTTCACCCCATCTCATCTATCCTGAAGAAAGGATACGCATCGATTTTCAGCCCATCGCCAGAGATCTCTTCGCGAGATACTTCTTCGAAGTGTGGGATGCTCTGTCAAACGATCCGGAAAGACTGCCTCGTTATCTCCAGCTCTTCGCGCTGGTATCATTCCACGCATTCATTAAGGAAGGTGTACATGTGGCTATATATGAGACTCATCACGGAGGGGAATACGATGCTACCAACGTGATAGAGCATCCTGTCGCAACCGTCATCACTGCACTTGGCATGGATCACGTCCAGCAGTTAGGGCCCACTATCGAGAACATCGCCTGGCATAAGTCGGGAATCTTCAAGCACGGTGCTCATGCACTCTCGTCTCCTCAGGATGCCTCCGCTGCTGAGGTTCTTCGATGTCGCGCGGCGGAGAAAGGCGTTCGCTTCCAATTCGTGGAGAACGATCCAGATCTTCCAGCAGACGCACCGCAGCTGAAGCCAGATGTGCAGCGCATGAACTGTTCCGTTGCGATTGCTGCCGTTCGTTACTTCCTTGAAGATAGAGCTACAAAAGACACTTCAAAAGACATTCCGCAACCATCATCTTGGGATGTTTTGCAGGGCATCAGCCAGTTCTCCTGGCCGGGGCGCTTCCAAACCATTGTCGAAGGGGGCTTCAGCTGGTTCCTTGATAGTGCGCACAATGAGATAAGCGTTAGCAAAGCCGCGGAATGGTTCATCGAGAGCTCGCAGGGAGAGAGGTACTTCAACCATACAAGACTCTGCCGCCTTACCATTAACAGTCACAGCGCATCTTCCGTACGGGTCTTGATCTTCGGCCAGGTATCGAAGCAGAGAGATGCTAGAGTTGTGCTCGAACAACTAGCCACTACCCTCAGCCCTGTTCGCATCGACCATGTCATTTTCACTTCGTACGATCCAAAGCAAGACTTCGACTCTACAAGAGGTGAAGCTCCCTAACTCTGGTCGTACGAAACCTCGCCTACTGACTGTGTTGTAGCTGTAACTCCAAATCTAGAAGATCTGGACGCTTCACGAGGAGCATTCAGTGAAATTTGGCAGCGCATCCACCAAAACTCACAAATCCTCTACGAACCAAGTGTGCAAAGAGCTCTGGAGTTGGCGAGGGAAATAGGCACGGTTGGTGGTATGCAGACACTCATCACTGGTAGTCAACATCTGGTTGGCGCTGCACTCTTCTCATTGAACGACTGCACGTCAGATGAGGGCTTCACTTAGCTCCTGTATGTAGGCGTAGAAGGCGTGCACTTTGCTGGACCCTAGATCTGCCGCCGCTAACATTATGTTGCGCAAAAACACCGTGTGCTGTACGCGCGACCATGCGTATCACAGATGATTTCTTTGTGGCGAATTGAAGTCACAGCCCGCTCTAATAACAGAGGTGGAGGGCCTGAAAGCTGCAGGGCCATAGTCCAATAACCAATGACCGAGTTGACCGCCCCACAGCGCTTGCTTGCGGCTGCGCCCCATAGGATGTTACCAGTCAGCACATCGCCTTGGTCGTGGTATCACCAGTTGGTGCGCAAGGCCACCCGTCTCAAATGCGCTGACGACTTTCACATAAGACAACGGCTACCGCCTCGTCAAACTATCACCATCGATCGTCAATTCCACCCGCGCATGGGGGCCAGAAGTTACACTTCGACAGCACCACTACTAGCACTCCGCAGTCATCTCAAAGATATCCAGGCTGAGAAAAAAAGGCGAAGTTCTCTAACGCACGCCGTTGTAGTGGGCAGGTTTTGTCACCAAAGAAATGGTACGATTCGAAGCGCTCAGATTCCGCCCGTCGACGCTAGTCCCAAAACGAAAGGACGGCACACAATCCCGTCAAAGCTGGTACCCTCCCGCGCTACGATGGTGGACCCTCGCCATAACTGCACTACTCTGCTGGACCTTTATTGCTGTTCTACAATACTATCTTCGGAGAAGCCAGACGCAAGGTGGGGTGATTTTCGCCACAACGGTGAACTCACTTCCGTTACATCGCTCATTCTGGTACCTCTATCTGCCAACGATTATTGCTGTAACTTTCAGCATCCTTGTTATCTGGATCGACCACGATGCTAAGCGTTATGAGCCCTATCGGCACATGGCACGGCCATGTGGAGCGTCAGCGGCAAACTCCATTCTATTGCACTATCCTTTCGACTACATCCCGATTGTACCTATAATAGCAGCTAAAAGGAGGTGAGTCCCACACCACACTTCAAAAAGAACGAAAAGGTGTTGACGAAGTCTGTATAGGCATTGGCTTGTGTTCTGGGCCTCATTGGCAATCGTTCTCACTACGTTCGGCGTTGTACCACTACAAGCAGGTATATTCTCGACACGGCCGATTACCAGGGATTTTGTACAGGATTTCGACACATCGAATGATTTTATACACTCTTCAATGCAAGAGCAGGCTATGACCTTCAGCTATGCGCAATCTGTATATGGCATCTTGGAGTTGAACGAAACAATGCCAGCCTTTACCACTCGCAACTATACGCTACGACCGTTCACTACTCAAGGTCTCATACCCAGTGTTGGTGACTCCTGGACAGCACGTACTATCATGTACAGTATGGGTCTTGAATGCGAAAAGGCGCAAAAAGCAGGAGCAAGAAACGAAACCTGGTCAGAAGAGGCGCTTGTGCAGGTTGAAGGGACTAACGTTATACGCAACATGACATGGTCTTTCACAAGCGAAGCCGGCTTCAAGAATTCTGCTGGCTGTTACGTGTCTTCGTCACAACAAAACGGCGCCGTAGTTGGAGACCTCACAGGCCCGCGGGCGTCAACTCGATTCAAGAAATTCTCTGCATCATACATGGGCTATTTCTCTCCGTTATTTGCAGCATATTTGGTGGAAATAGAATCTCTCCAAAACCAGCGGTGGTGTCGATTTCGGGGAAATGGGACCTTCTTTGCGACATTCACACAAAACAAAGAAAGAGAGCAGGATCCGCTCAGCAACATTACGGCCATATTCTGTAAGCCAGTATACTATGAGCAGGATGTTGAGGCAACTGTGGATGCGATAACCGGGAAACCTCAAAACATTAGTCTTTCCAGCGCAACAAGGCGCAATATTTCCGCAGAGATTTTCAACACTACCGTCTTCGGGGAAACACTCGGCTCTGGTACTCGCAAGCTTCAGACAAGACAAGACATTTTGCCTATGAGCACCTTGCCTCGGTACCTCGAGATCTTGTACAACACAGACCTGACACCATCTATAGCTTCGCCTATGATGACAACCGTTATGTCTGTATCAAAAGATCGTTTGCCGGAGCTACTGGATCCGGAAAAGCTAGCAAGCGCATATGAGATTGTATATCAACTCTTCTTCGCTCGTGCGATGGCTGACATTCTCAACCCCAACGTTTCTACGTCAACTGGTACCAAATCGCCAGGGTCGTTCCGGACGCAAATGGAAGCAGTCGTGCTTGAACCTATCTTCACGTACATGGTTGAGGGGTTTCTTGCCGTGATCTCAATGGCAGCGATAGCTCTCATTTGTATTGGGTACGTGGGGCAGAAGAAAAGAGCACTAGTTGACGACCCTGGTAAGCGTTAAACCTATCGTATTCATAGCTTCTTACTCATTTTTAGCTTCTTTGGCCTCTATCATGTCAATGATGGCAGACGATACCGATTTGCTTGCCAAATTTGGAGATCTGGATTGTGCGTCAACGCAATATTTCGATCAAAAGCTCCATGCGAGCGGATTCAAACTCGAAAAAGATCAAGGGTCAGTACTCTGAGTATCTCACAGTCTACACAACTCACATTTTCCAGCATAAGAAATGTAGCTCTCAGCTCGGAGCTGCAAAAGCCCTTACTCAAAACCGACGAACCACGATTATCAGAGCCCATGAGACCTATGGAGTTCCGTTTGGGTACTGGAATTCCTTTCATCAGCCTTTTTGTGGCTTTGGTGATAGCCCTTGCTGTTCTCTTCACTCGATCTCGGCCACACGGTAAGTGGTGTCGCACAGATCATGACATACAATGACCCTGACTTGATTGAACGAAATCGTTCTTACTGAAACCATCTCGGATTATCTCTGCCGTCGAATGATCGCATTATTCAGATCATCGTTACCCAGTATCTTCCCACAGCCATTGCCACTCTCATCGAACCACTTTGGATCATGATTAACAGACTCTTTTGTGTTTTGCAGCCTATAGAGCAGATGCGAGGCCCGAGAGCAGCCGCGTCCCGGAGCATAACTCTCAGTTATGGTTCTCTCCCTCCCCAACTCACACTCTTCAAAGCAGCTCGAGCTGGTCATTACTTGTTAGCAGCAGTCTGTGCAATGAGTCTATTAGCAAACCTATTAGCAACTGCATTCGCGGGTCTTTTTTTCAGCGCAACGCTGTCACTCCCTCAGTCAGCACTATTTTCGCCACCTTTTGAAGCAAGATCTGTACACATCAACGGCTCGTCAGGTCCACCAATTATGGGAAATCCGTTTTTGACCTTGGAAAGCCAGAGGCCTGAAATGTCAGGTGCTTACCAGGGGTCCACGGGCGAGAGCCACTTCTTGGTGGCAGAGTCTAACTTGACACGTCATACTCCCTTACCGGCCTGGACAGATAAGAAGGCTACCTACGCTTCATTCATTGGTCACGAACCAGTCAGTCTATCTACAGAGAGCTATTATCAAGCTCGTATCAAATACTTTGCTGCAGAACCAAGATGCAAACCTCTCATATTCGACCAAGACTATCATATGCATCTATGGACCGATAAGATGAGCGACTGGAGACAACTTCTCAATGTCACAGTAACGTCTACGAGCGGAAAAACAACCACATGCTATGGTACGGATGGCAACATGTTCGCCACAAACTACGGATCAAGCAGCCGCTGGGATGCTCAGTATAATGGAACTCTCTGCCGTGACGGCAAAGTCGGAGCAGAAATAGCGACAACCCTCCAGGCCGACCTTGACGCCACTGAAGAAGAAAAGGCAATATGCAGGTCTGCAGTCGCAGTTGGATGGATTCGGGCTACGCATCAATACTGTGATGGACCACTTGGTATGGGCGATTTCCGGCGAAGACAAATCCTGACAGACCCGAACGCGCATCCGGTGACTTCTTATCCGGGCTTCGAGGATGCTGCCAGCAACAACACTTTCCTCATGCTGTGCCAGCCAGAGATCCAAGTCGGTGATGCCACTGTACTGGTCGACAAAACGGGGGTTTTGACAGAGCCAGCAAGGGATCTCGCACCTGATCAGAATCAAAGCTCTCAAGCACTTGACAAATACTTCTCGAACGGCGCGGCCGAACTCATGTCACAATCGAACTTGTTCATCTTTCGAACTGTACAGCCCTTATGGCATAACGACACCTTTGCCAGCGAGTTCATTCACTACTTCATCAATCGAGCCGAAGGATCGCTACGGCTGACAGACCCAAACACGCCACTACCCACATTCGCAGACGTCGAGACGCCAATGAACCAAGCATACTCACGACTCTTTGCCATTTGGCTCGGTGTGAACAGGGAGCTTCTTTTCGTACCGGCAAACAACACAACAACGCCGCAGGTCTCTGGCATCGTCATAACACCTGAAGAACGCCTGTTCTTTGTCACTCCCCTTTTCATCATCTCGGAATGCATCCTGAGCATCTACGTTGTCGTTTCTCTTATCGTATACCTTCGCCGTCCTGGTCGCTACCTCGCGCGCATGCCTACCAGTCTCGCTGCGATTATCGCGCTCTTTGCTTCAAGCGCTGCGGTCAAGGACCTGCGCGGTACAGCTCACATGACGAACAAGGAGCGCGAGAAATACCTCGAAGATTTGGGCTGCAGGTACGGGTACGGCAGCTATCTAGGTGGTGAGGATAGTGTTGTACATGTAGGTATTGAGAAGATGCCTTTTGTGCAGTACCTGAAGGAAGTTAGCTTTGTGGGAAGTATGGCTGGGAAAGGTGTG